GTCACCATATTAGATGAGTGCGTTTATTTCTTCTTCTCATTGTCATTTGATTTATATTTCACTTCACTTCAATTGAATCAGCCTATGGGCATACACGCATGAATACAAACATGGCATGAAAAATAGTAGCAAAAATACACACCTAAATATATAACTCACAATGGTTTAGACGTGAGCGCATGCGTTAAAGGCGCATGCGTGGCAACATATGGAGTTGTGTATGTAGGCACAGACACTCCTAAGTATGAGTAGATGTAAATTTATGCCAAAACAATCGAAATTCATTTGAAAAATAAGTTCACGAATTTAAAACAATTTCTATCTTTGACGCAATGACAGCATAGACAAATGCACTGCATATCAATATACACACACTCACACACAAGCAGACACTTGAATGTTAATTTAAGAATTTTTAGAGAAAAGCTTTCACGCCGCTTTTCAAAACAATTTCATTTACATGTCAAAAAAAACATATACTCATTCCCATTACATCTATTTTAGCCACTTTCATGGTTCTCAACACCTATTGCTGTACGAGTACATTCAGCACAAGAGCAACCAACAGCTGTACGGACGCAACCTCTAGCCGCGCTCTCCTCCAGTCAACTTCTTGCCTCCCTCTTCTTTACAGACTAAAATGCTTTTCTCATCAACCCAACTGCCGTTGGTCTGGTTACCACTTTGACGCTTTGCGAATAAATTTACCGTTGAATTTATGTCATTCAACTTGTGAATTAGTAACATTCAGCACCTATTGCCCCCCAACACCACTTTCTTGCCACACACTTGTAATTGTGTTATGACCGAATGACGGCTGCTGACGGGCCATTGAATGAGTGAGTGAATGAACGAGTGGTTACAACCACTGATGTAAACATGTATGGATTGTTCATAAATTTGTATATGATGGTAGCCCAAAAATTATTATTTTTTAATTTATACTTAAATATTCTGCCGGTAAAAAATATTAATTAAAAATAAAGAAAAAATGTAAGTCATTTGAATTAATTATTTTATTTTATTTTATATTATTTTAATTTAATTTAATTATTTTATTTTGTTTTATTTTCTTTTATTTTAAATTATTTTATCTATTTTTTTAATTTTTCTCTATTTTATTTTATTTTATCTTATTTTATTGTCTTTTATTTTATTTTATTTTTGTCTATCTTCTTTCATTTTACTTTATATTATATTGTTTACTTTTAATATATTTTTATTTTAATTTCCTTTTTTAATTTTATTTTATATTATGATATTTAATTTTAGCTTATATTGTTTAGCTCATTTTGTTTTATTTTATTTTATTTTATTTTATTTTATTTTATTTTATTTTATTTTATTTTATTTTATTTTATTTTATTTTATTTTATTTTATTTTAATTTATTTGATTTTATTTTATTAAATTTTATTCTTTTCATTATTTTTATAATAATGTATAATATTTTGTTTATAGTATTTCTATTTTCTTTAATATTGTTTAGTTTGTTTTATTTATCATTTTAATATCTTTATTTTATTTTATTTAATTTTTTCATTGTATTTTGATTTATTTTTATTTTTGAATTTTTCATTTTATTTTATTTTATTTCAAGTTTTTTATTTAACTTAGTTTATATTATATTATTTTTTCCCCCTTTGTTATTTTTTATTTGTTTTTATAAAATTGTATAATATTTTATATGGTATTACTATTGTATTTTCTCTAATATTGTTTAGTTTGCTTTATTTTATTTTTTTTAATTTTTATTTTATTTTATTTGTTTATTTATTTATCATGTTTTTTTATTTAATTTAATTATTTTATTTTATTTGTTTTCACTTTATTTTTATTATTTAGTTTGTTTTATTTTAATTTTTATAAGTTTTTATTTTATTTCAATATGTTTAATCTTTTGTTATTTATTTCCATTTTAAATAAGTGATCCACCCTAATACAGGTTTTTACTTGTGTATGCTTGTGTATTTACACTGCATTTACAGGCCTATCATACATACATTCAAGTACTCATACTTTAGCCATTTCTTCTTTTTATCAAATACCTTTTTTACCAATCGTCTGTGGGTGGGAACCGGCAAATGAGTGAAAAAATTAAAAAAAATACTTTCGTGATCAAGCAAGTACTCTTATAAATATATTTAAGTGTATGTAGTATGTGAGCATATAAGAGTAATTGTTTTCAACTCGCACACGTTCATGTCCAACTATGAATGTACATACGAGTATATACAAACATTCTCAACTTTAGGTGAGTTCACCGTTTGCCATGACTGTCAATAGATAAAACCGAATGTTGATTGTTGTTGTTGTTATTGCCTACTGTTGTTCGTTCGTGCAGAGTTGACGCAGCTCCAAAACAAAGCCAAGCGGCATATAGAATAACAATGTGTAGAGAAAAAGTAAGTATAAAAGAAATAAAAAAAAATATGTTTGCAACAAAGCACAAAGTATGAATGGTGGTTTGGTAAAAATTACTAAGCTGAATACGGTTTTTTTTGTTTTAGTCACTTTTTTGTTGTTGAAATTTATGTGTCTTTTATGGAATTTGTGTCATTCGAATTTTGCTAATTTTTTTTCTGTATACATTTTTTTTTTTTTTTTTTTTTTTTTTTTTTTTTTTTTTTTTGTATGCAATGGGGCAGCATGCTGCAACTTTTCTAATAAGTACTTACGTACACACGATCTATACCTGCATACTTACATATATTGGGAAAATTATATACCTTCCAGAGAAGAAATGACTTGAAACTGCAATTTATGCATTTAAGCAAAAAAAAAAACAACTTTGCATGTGGAAATATCTAAGTTTATATATGTGAAGTTAATTTTGAGTAACGTGTTATTACGGTAACTTTTAAGATAATGCGGGTATACAGGAGTGAGCTATTGGTTTTTTTCTTTTTTGGAAAGCACTTAAATTATTTTTCAAGAATATAATGCGTTATCAGCCAATTTTCACTGTAGCCAACAGGACGTTGTTTTAAAATATGGAAAATTAGAAAGAGCTCACGTAGGAGGTTGCAGTTTCAGATGGAGTTTCATAGTTTAACTCTTTTCTTCTAAACCACTTGAAAAAGAAGTAAGAAATCAAATAGGAATAATAAACAATTAATAATAAGAATGATGATAAAATTCATGAGAAATAATTTAATTTTTTAGTTATCAAATTGTTTTATTCAAATTTTAATTTTAAAATGGAAATTCCGAGAAAAAGTTCTGGTCGTGTGAAAGCAGCGATTTTTTACAAAAAATGTTAGGTAGATTCAGTTAAAGTGTACCTTAGCAAAAGAGATTAGCTACTTGTGTATCCCGAAAATGGTAAAAATAATAAAAATATTTCAAAATAGCTGGAATTTAATGAAATCATGTTTTTCATTAAAAGCTCCCAAAGGCGCTCGATAGGCTAGGAATACAGCTGGGTTGAAATCTCTAAGTTCTACAGAAGGGGAGATATATTTTATTGAAAAAGAGTGAAAAATCGACTTTTCCGAAATTCAAAAATTTCTCCAGTGCCGGTATTGGTCACAAGGTCTTAGTATAATTTTTAAGAAAAAATCGTGATCAAAGTCTCTGAGCACACTTTTTTAAAAGAACTAATGGATATGCACATATATATGTATGTATAGCCCGCTGTGCACAATTGAGATGGAATGACAACATCAAATACCGCACAAAAATAAATATCATATCACGCTTTTTCAACGTTTTTATTGAGGGTGGCTGTACGAACATAGCGAAAAAAAGAACTTTGACAAAGGGATTTCCCCGGCTCTTTAAATTATCACTTTTAACCAACTATGGGCTGACTTTGGTTGTTGGACAGTGTAACGTAAAAATCTTGGTGAGAGATCGTTGGCCACTCGTCCACCTATTAAATATAATCCTAGGGATTGATCATTCAAGATATGCCTCCTAACTAGTTAAAAGTATTTCATTATATTTGTATTAAATTGAAGGCCTCATTTACCATAATTAGAATTATCCGAAATATGCCATATTTATATAACGAGTATGTACGGTTAAGCTCCGTAACTGTTTGCCGTTTTGAAGGTAATTTTACGATGCCTCTCCTAAAGAATGCCTTGTCTCTATTGGCCAAAAATTGAAACAATCGATTTCTTCTCTTCAGGTCAATGCTTCAACAGCCAACTCAATCGCTATAACATAAGACAAGACAATCACTTGTTGTGGACTATAAGTTAGATGTATAATAACCTCCCAAACAAGCTCTCGGAGTTTCTGAAGAGCCACTACGAATGTGTGTGGCCTGACGGTGTTCACAATTCATCTTTTGTTGACCAAATACATTTGCTTCAAGGTGATTGCTTCCTTCAGAGAGTCCAATTGCTGACATTACAGATTTAAATTAAGAGTAGGGGAGCAGCTCATAGTGGACAGTAATATGCTACTACTAATAAACACCTTACAAAATATGCCTGGACGTTAATCCTAGCCTGGAGACCATTTGTTCCGGCTCACTGCCTTTAGACCATGTCCATTTTCATTTGACGTTGCTGTAAATGATCCGCATCACCAGTAACCGTTCATTGCAGCAGCGATTCGCAGATGGAAATGCGGCCCGTGAGGGCTTTGCTCGTTAACTCTTTTAAGTGGTTCTAAACAGTTTTTTGTGCAATGTTCGGCTCTTGGACAATCAAAATAGTACTCGCAAAATGGCTAGACTCTGCGATTCCCATTAGTTTATTGGCATTTTTTACAAATGGTTTTCCACACTATTTTTTACATAAAAATAACGTAAACGACCTCGACGAAACGTAAATTGTAAATGGTACAGTATTAGGTTCTTAAACACTATGCACATTTTCAGTTGCGCAAAGCTTTTAGAATACTTAATTGATTTGATCAGCGCTTCTCTCATTATCTTTTGTTAGAACAAAACACCATCCTTCTGACGTCACAAAGCCATAATTATTATTTATTATTATTATTCATTATATTATTTATTATATTATACGTTAAGGACCCGATCCCTAGGCCTAATATATCTGAAACCATTGAAAAGATTTTAACCACTTCTCCAATTTATGGTGCGAGTCTTGAGGTTTTTTAATCAAATGGAGGAACTTATAGTTTACTTAAGGAGTTACATCTGATAAGGAACCCTAAAGAATGAGTTTTCTCAAACATTTTTTACGAGAAAACTTTTAGCTTTATTATTTTGAGCATTAGTGCACATATTTTGGCACCTTTGCAGAGAGGTTAGCAATTTTTTTTATTTATAAAAATAACAGTTTCTAAAGCCGCTACAGCAGATCTCCAGGGACACCTCCAAAAAAAAAGTGTTTTGCGGTGACCATTGTATTTCTAAAGTCAATCATCTGAAATAAAAAAAAAACAAATAGATTTTGGTAAAGTGATGTATAGTCGTGTGATTAATCGAAAGAATGAGACAAACAAGTTTTTGACGAAATGACGGCTTCTGTAAAAGAAAATATAATATTTCTCTATAATTTAGGGCTCAAATTGCGCATTAAAAATAAACTTTTTAGCGGTTACGGCATCGATTAAGTACTAGAAATTTGAGACTAATCGGTTAATGTTGGTAACCGACTGGAAAAAACATGGTTTTGAGAAAAACGAGTTTTAAGTTTCGCTTACCGCTTTCTGACGCTCTGACGCATCGTTACCGATGCGTGTGTAATTTTCAAAATAACAGTCGGATCAAATTGACATTTTCGGAATACATGTAAATAAATTATGAAAATGAAATAAAAAAGATCGATTTTTTGGAAATTTTAACTAGACGTAACCCTTTAAGATGCCTGCAAACGGCAGATGGATTTCTATGAGGACCTTTTTTTTTTGTTGCATATTCGAACTTCATTCGTAGGGGTTGAAATTCTCAGCCGAGGGGCGACAGACTTAAGAAAAAGTATCTTAATTTCTATATTACATTTCAGTTTCCATAATTTTGGATGTTGGTCGGGCCGCTTCTAGAATCTGTAACCTTACGGATGGAAGGACGCACGCTAACAACTGATTATATCATCTCTTATTAAAGTTTTTCGATAACTATCTTATTTAACTTCTTATTTTCTTTATTGAAAGAAGAAAAAGATTAAAAATAAAAACACTTTTTTTTATTTTTTAATTATTTAAAATAAATTCTAATTTTAATTAAAATGTAAATTTATTGGCTAAACGCGCTAGCGATTTTTATAAGAAAATCATATTAGCTATTTTTTAATCATCATGGAAATAAGTAAGTGTAAATATGTAAATATCCACATACATGCACACGTTCAGTTACTCATCAACTCAAGCACTGCACATCAATGCATACCAAAGTGTCTAATCAGCGAAACTCAATTACAATATAAATGCCACACAAACACACATAAAGCACATGACAGGCGTCAGTTCTGAAAGTGAGACCGCACCTAAAATTAAAGTGTGACAAGCAATGAAGAGAAAATCCAATGTTAACTACGAGTATATATGTACGAACGAGTACATATGTGTGTATGCAGATGAAATCAGACAAAAACATAAAAATTGCACGGGCGTAGAAAATGAGAAAACAGTATTCAATGAAAACAAATAAAAATAATTAAATACATGCAAATATTTTTAAGCAAACACATCGTTAGTGTAGCGTAATTAAACATAAGTATGTAAATTTGTAATCGTCAACTTTTTTTAGCTTTTTTTTGCAATTTCGAAATGCCATAAATAGCAAATTAGCGGTTTTTAAAGTTTTCCAAATGCAAAAGTAGTTAGTAATGTAAATAAATAAACTAGGTAGCTTCCCGCTAGGGCCACTGTCATTAAATATATACGAGTATATATATATGGCATTACATACAAACATCGTCGGTGTAACAAAGACATTTAATTACGCAAAGCGAGTAACCCAACCAGTAACCCAGCGACTCATATCAGAGATCAAATTTAATATTTGATATTTTGTTAAACAAATTATGACCTTCAGGCGGAAAAACAAGCAGCAAAGCGCTGAAAATTGTATTTCAACACATTTTTCATGCTACTGATTATGTATTGTGGGTACTTATGCATTTAGATACAAACATACATACATGTCGCGTATTCATTCATTTAATACAGAGTAATATTTGTGTGTACTCAACGCTTCAACATACATGCATCACTATATATTACATACAATATTTATGTTTAGCTAATTAAAATGAGATTGAATTAAAATGCCATACATACATATACGCTTTAGATTTTAACCTTTGGGCTTAGTTTGTTTGTGCCTTTGATTGTGCCAATTTTAGGCACCTGTCGACACGATTTGCCTTAGATTTGCTTTTTTTAATTTTGGATTTGTTTTCTTTTATGGGGTTACGATATGTCATTGGTTTAACTAGATTAGTGCTTTTAACGATTTTTATAATCCAGAGTAATGGTATAAGAAATACATACATACATGTGTGTAATTAAAAAAAGTGTTAGGCCTTTCCATAACTACGAGATTTTATATATGAAAAGATTCTATTCTATGAAAGTCACGGCCTCAAAGACAGACCAACATCTGAAGTTTAGAAAATTAACTGAAAATAAATTGATTTTTCTAATTGCGGTTGCGCTTGCGCAGAGAATGTCCATCCCACCGCATGTAGTTCTGGCATGAAGTAAAAAAGGCTCCTCATAAACAACCATCAACCGTTCAGAGATAACTTAGAATAAACTTCAAGTTAATTCTTTTATTGGAAAAACATCAAGACGGCTGCCAAAATTCAGAAAATATCATACATGGACCGTACTATCGATTCAAATAGAGATTTCGTGAATTTATCTGAATTTTATGTGTTTTTTTTTTTTTTTGAAAAGCTTTTCTATAGCTCTTCAAATGCGAAATTACAGTTATATTATTCAAAGTCCTTCGCTAGCGACATTTTTCTCCCATCTTTCCGGCAATTTTCGGAAACCGGCTCGAAAAAAAGAATCCTCTTCTGACGCTATCCATGAAGCAATCCATTTTTCCAATTCTTCGAAGGATTGAAAATGTTGATCTGCCAGGCCGTGTGCCATCGAATGGAATAGGTGGAAGTCAGAAGAGGCGATATCTGGGGAATACGGCGGGTGGGGCAAGACTTCCCATTTCAGCGTTTCCAGGTACTTTTTGACCACTTCTGCGAGGGGAGGCCGATCATTGTCGTGTTGGAGGATGACTTTGTCATGTCGCTCTTGATATTGTGACCGCTTTTCTTTTGGCGCGCGGCTAAGGTAGCGATCTCCTGCGATCTCCTGTGATGGTTTCACCCGGTTTTAAGAGCTCGTAGTAAATCACTCCGAGCTGATCCCACCAAATACAAATCATAACCTTGGCGCATCGAAATCACCATTTTTAAAACGTTGAAACCACTCCCGACACGTTCTTTCACTCAGAGCAGCATCACCGTAAGTTTCTGAGAGTATTCGCATTCGCTTCTGCTGCATTTTTTTTTCGAATTGTAACAGAAAAGTAAAACTTCCCGCAAATGGCGAGAATTAGGCACATAACCGTACATTTTCGAGCGTGAATAATACGAAACCAAGAACAACAAGAGCAACTGTCACTGAAACGGCGATGACAATTCGTTAGACAATGTTCAAACTCACTTTAAAGGCATTATCATCTATGTATTTCAACCAGCCTCAGCCGGTACTGCCATCTATCGGAAAACGGCGGAAGCAAAGTTGCACACCTGATAGTTGGTAGATTATTTTATGCAAATGTTGACCGTGACCGCGCCTCAAATGGTCCATCAGCTCTATCCAATTTTGGCATACTCTTTCCAACATTTCGGCCGATATCTCACGTATAAATGTTTCAATGTTGTCCTCTAATGCGTTAATTGAAGCTTGATTGGGCTTGTCTGTATAGACATTAGGTTTAAGATAGTCCCACAAAAATAGTCTAAAGGCGATAAATCGCACGATCTAGGTGGCCAATTTACCGGTCCCGAACGTGAAATAAAATGTTCACCAAACTCGCCTCAAGTCCATTGTCACGCATACTGTGTGGTATGTGGCACCGTTTTGTTGAAACCACATGTCATGCAAGTCAAGCACTTGCATTTTGGGCAAAAAAAAGTTTGATATCATCTCACGGTTGCGCTCACAGTTAAGTTACGGTGCTCATCATCTTTGAAAAACTACGGTCCAATGATGTCACCAGCCCAAAAACCGCACCAAACTATGACTTTTTCTGTATTCATTGGTAACTCTAGCTATACTTCTGACTGATCTTCACTCCAAAATCAAAAATTCTGCTTTTTTACAGACCCATTAAGCCAAAAATGAGCTTCGTCGCTGAACAAAATTTTTTTTTTTGACTTTGCTATCAGAACAGGTTAAATTATAGATCAAACTGAAGGTGTTTGACAGTGATACAAAACATGAAACGTGAGGCAGCTGTTTAAACCAGTGTTACCAAAAAGATAATAGCTAAAAAAAACAAGAGTCAATAATTGATCGGCTCTGTTGTATTTCACATGAATTTTCGATACTGTTGATTACTGAATCTTAAAATCAACACTTGTCTAAAAATAACCTCTAAAACGGAATGTTCTCCCAAAAGAGCCGAAATTACATCGAAAAATGCTAATGGTGACCTCGTAGGTTATGAGGAAATACTTTCTACGTTGACTTCGAAGAGTACTGTGTTAACTGGGCGGCTTGTACGTGAGATGTCGTATTCCCTTCGTTTACTTTATGTACCGCGTGAGCGTGTTACTTCATCCTAAGGCATTTCAACGAATAAAACATTGCTTTGCACTCACTAACCTGACATTTTTTTCTCATCTGCTTTTTTTAATTTGCCAGGTGTTCTCCGGTTGGTAGAGGGCTTGTTGCCATCGCGGAGAGGCTCCGCAAGCCGCTGCACTGCCACTTAAGCCTGCCATATGTCTGTTATATTCTATTGTCAAAGCATCTATATCACAATTGAAAGCAGGGGTCTTTCCTTGTTTCTTCCATTCGTTCTTGCTCATAGGCAGAAATTTAGATCATTGCATCTTCCCAATTGGCTTAAACCCAAGCACTCTTACAGGTAGCAATCCGATTCAGTTTTTGAAGATGTTATCCAAGGGCTAGATGATGCCCAATATACATATCTACAAGTATGCTAAGCTTCCCCGTAGCTAATAATGCCCATAATATCTGCCTGGGAGACATTCATTGAATTTGAAGCTATTTTCTTTATTGAAGAGATTACATAAGAGCCCTTCTCTTGTGCCGGCCTCACTTATCTACCCATTAGTATAGATATAAAAACTTCTAATTCCTGGATGTCTTCCCTTTCCCTTTTTTTGTATTTATATGTGTAGGTGCATCATGGGTTATCATAACTTATTTCCACGTTATGGGT